AATAGCAGTATGTAATAAATTTACTTGGCTTTTCATTAAATTCACTTATTCTAAATCTTAATTTTTTTTATATTAGTAGAATCTGGTCAATATCAACGTCAACGTCAACGATGACCAGCATATGAATTACCTTGTGCTTTGGCCGCTTTAGTTTTGTTGCATGAAGGTTCTGGGCTATTTACTTCAAGCGCAATTGAATATAAAAATAAATAAGATAAAAAACTTTCAAAAACAATTGAAATATGCGTATGATTATGTAATTGAAAGTTGGGATCGAATTCAGGAAATAAACAAAATAAATAGGGCATTATCCGAACAAAATGATGCGTTAAAAAATAAATGGGAAAATCGTTATAATAATCAAAAAAAAGAATTGATTCGATAATTCAAATTGCAAATTATAAACACCAAGGTGTTTATGATGAAATCGAATCATTAATCTTTAATAAAAACTGATTTTCTCTTGACAGTTTATTAAATTTTACTCCTGAGAATTGGTTAGCTAACCGTAACCCCGTCATCGTTAATTTTATTAATACTCTCACTCATAACGATAATAATGATCATACTAACTATATATTAAATGAAAAAACTTTTAAAAGAATGGTTGCTATTGATGCAATGTATAGATTGAGGCATAAAAATTACATATCGAAAATAAACTTAGCTATATCAGGGATTAAATATTCGTTAGCACGATCTAAAACAATCATTGATATCGATAATCATATAATTAGTTCTGGAAGTTATACAAAATTTATTAATTGGCTAGAATCATTAGCAAATAAAAGCAAACCTTTGCCTAAAGGATTATTATTTTTGGCCTTTGACAATGAACAATGAGGTCAATTCAATTATCTTGATCGTGAATATAACACGGTTATATATCATACGGTTACAAGTTTTGTTGCATTAAACATGGATAAAAATAATTATGCACAGTTTATGATCGCTCCTTGGCTTTATGATTTACTAACAAATGAACAATATGATGAATTATATTATATTACACCAGAAATAAAAACAGAACACGAACGGGAACTAAGTTTATACTTAACATCAATTTTAGAAGACCTTATAGCTAAAAAAAAGAAACTGGTCGATCCTATCGATCTAGCTATAAAAAATCAAAAAGGTGTTAGAAGTAAGTCTAAATGGTGTAAAAAGTGCAACGCAACTAATATTGATAATAGGAAATGAAATTGCTCTTAGTGTAATGAGAAATTGGATATATTGGCTACTTTACAAACCGAATCTGCTAGTGAAATTCACGATATAGCTCCTAAACCAAAAACCCTTATAATAAAGCCTCATACATATACTCATGAAAAAAAAAGTTTATTTTCCGAACATGTTAGTATTATGCAACGATCAGAACCTGAGTATGGTGTAATCGTTCCGGAAATGCATGTACCAGATCTATTAGAACTTAATCCCAATTCAGTAAATAATATTAAAAAAAATTTTGAATACATACAAGATATTGCGAGAATAGACCAAGGAATGCGAAAATGGCTACCAGTTACTTGTGATAGTGTTCTATATAATCTAGCTTAAAAGATTAAAAAGGACTTTCCGTGGCTTATACTGATTCCCGGGACATTGTACAAAGAAATGAATATGCTCAAGGTATTCGTAGAACTAAATTGATATCTTTTTTTTTTTTTGTTAATATAGAATATAAATTATATCTTTCATTAAAAATTCTACCATTTTGACAATTTTTGTCTATCTTATTCGACTTAAGGGCAATTGATATCAAGCAATTCGTGATTCTTCAAGGATACAAAACTGAAAACCAACTTAAATTTTTTAAAAAGTGTGTGGACCATCATAAATCATGGGATTCTATTTGCAATATTTATCGACATGCTATAACTTGTGAATTATTGTGGCCATACGTAGTCGAGAGTGAAAATCCTTCGGTTCATGGCTATCTAGAGTGGGCAAAAAACCAAAATAATCATCTATATAAACTAAAATTTGAATAGGTAAATTTTTAACAATAAACAAATATATCTAAAATCCTTTGCTAATGATTATTATAGACTTTTATCTACCTTCAGACAATCATTAACTT